ATTTCTTTGTGTTTCACCGAGTTTTGTTGGAACGATAGATAGCGCTTTCAAAAGCCAAGAAGAAGCAAAGTGGAAAGTTGGGCCAGTTGGTTCATGGTTCTTTAAATAATTAAAGCGCCGAAAAAGACGAGGACAAATAAGTGGAACGACACAAGGCGCACTCGCAACTGTTGTTTCATTTTGAAAAGTACATGCATTTATAGGCCCCAGAACCCCGTTAGTCATCAGCGTGTCCCTCGCAATGCTTCTCTCAAATATTCAAACTCGCTCTTTGGCAGGGCGAGTGACGCTTCACTTACACACTCAACACCCTTATCCCTAATTGCATACGCCTCGTGCACCTCTCTGCTTGTTCGGTCGCGGTAACGAGCCAAAACCTTTATGCCATGTAGCACTGGTGTACACGGGCATCTATTACAATGAATGGTGAGATGGCCAGACGGGCTGGCTCGCATGGCAGCCGCATGCTCGCGGGCGCGGTCATTCACGCATCTGCCCGTCTGGCCAAGTACACATCGCCGCATGACAGGGGGATTTCATATACAATTCCTGAAGCACATTCGGCAAATTTTGTTTTGTGCTTTTTGCTGCAAAGATTAGTCTGTTGATCGGGACAATTGATTTTACGCAAAGTTTGACCATCCGATTCGGCGCTGAGAAAACGACAGGTACGTTGAAACGCTGGGCCACTTTCTTTAAATTATGTGACATTAAGTGTAGGTATGAAATAACCGCTGGCCTCATATTGGGTCTCTCGAGGGCGGGTTTGCCCGTTCCTTTTATATTTTTTACCAGGCCTTCAACAACCTCAGTTAAGCACCTTTGCGGAAAGCCCGCCTCTTGCAGTTTTGTGATCTGTCGCTCAAAACTTTCCTGAACGAAATGCTCGCAAGACTTCTTGAGAGCGGCCTCCAAGCACGTTTTGGCGATGCCCCTTTTTACTAACTTAGAGTGAGCCGACTGAAATGGCAGGATCGCTTTCTTGGATCTCGGCTCATAAGTCTAACGTATGTGGTCTTCTAAAAAAACGTAGTTTAATGTCTAAAAATTGTAACTTCCCCTCAGTGGGTGTCTCAAAGGTAAAAGTCAAACCGCCCGCGCAAGCACTGAAGATATGCATAATCGCAGATACAGCTTCTGCCTTTGCAGAAGCTGTATCTGCGAATAGAAGCTGTTCTGCTATTCTGCTTTTGCTGCCTTTGCAGCAAAATACACGAAACAATATTTGCCGAGTGCGCCACAGGAGTTGCATATGAAATCCCCCTGTCATGCGGCGATGTGTAAATTGGCCAGACGGGCAGGTGCGTGAATGACCGCGCCCGCAAGCATGCGGCTGCCATGCGAGCCAGCCCGTCTGGCCATCTCGCCATTCATTGTAATAGCTACCCGTGTACGCCAGTGCTACATGACATTAAGATTTTAGCTCGTTATCGCGACCGAACAAGCAGAGAGGTGCACGAGGCTTATGCAATTAGGGATAAGGGCGTTGAGTGTATAAGTGAAGCGTCACTCGCCCTGTCAAAGAGCGCGTTCGAATATTTGAGAGAAGCATTGCGAGGGACACGCTGATGATTAAAGGGTTCTGGGGCCTATAAATGCATGTACTTTTCAAAATAAAACAACAGCTGCGAGTGTGCCTTGTGTGGTTCCACTTCTTTATCCTTGTCTTTTTCAGCGCTTTTAATTATTTAAAGAGCCAAGAAGAAGTTCTTGCAAGTATTTTTGAGATCATACGCGACTGAGTTCTCGTGCTCTGTCGCTTCGCGGAAAGCTGACAAGTATGGATTCTGTACCATGTGCGCCTGTGATGCGACTGTTTCACACTGCAGCAAGCTTGACATCAAGATGCACATCGCTTCACGAAAGCTTCACAATCATGATCGTGCCGCAGATGGTCAGGGCATCATCGGCAGTTTACTTCAAAGCAACTGCAAAGACAGTGTGATCTGCGGAGAGTGCCTCTTCACAAAATTTCTTGTCGAACTAAAAAAAAAATATTTTGACGCCCCCCCCATTCCGCGCGGTGGTCTCCCGAATATTTATGTTGCTAGGTTGGCAGGTATGCACTTACAAACAAGTTGTGAAATTGTTTGAAACGAGGAAACGTCATCACCAGCCATCTGTCCAATTGAGAAAAGTTTTCCACCTACATATATATGCAATCATCGATATTGATTATGCTTAGCGGAATCCTCGTACTGAAAGAGCCACGCACGAAAGCCTGTGAAGCAAACATCTGAAAGCGCTGTCGTGGCGTCTCGTTTGCCCCTAGCAGATGACGAAGACGGAGTATGATATTCCGCCGCATACGGTTGGCACAGTGCTTCGGTGGCCATCTGCTATGTGACGCTGGCGGTATGGAACTGCCACGGCTGCTGTGTTATAGCTAACAGAGTCCAAGAAAGTACATCACCGAGGTAGTTTTCTATGCACTTAAGAATTCTACAACTCTTCAATGAGCGCAACCATTAAATGAGCCTGGATTACTCGAATGCAATGTTTCCTTTCAAAGAATGGAAGTGCACTTTTGAAAGTTTTATATGATGTTATGACTTTTATCATTATTGCTTTGTTCCATTGTTCCAGGCAGTTTCAACTGCTGCTGTTTCAGTGTGCAGAGCGTCCTGCACAGGCAGCAACAAAGGATGTGTCAAAGAATCGTCTCCCTCGATTGCCAGACCATGTGGAGGATGCCCTCAGTAGAGTGAAAGGGCTGGCAGATGTGTCAGAAGACTTGAAGAGGCAAATTGTGAACCACATATATTATGACCTGTGCAGCTACACACTGTGAGTTGGCATTTTTTTTTGTGGAAGTTGCAGACTTTAATATGTTTAGCTTGTTCCACCCATGTTGGCCTGTGGAAGAGGGGTTCAGTTTCTCAGGATATTACAATACATACTAAAGTACGGTGGTGAACTTGGCCATCTGATATACAAAAGATGGTATGACAAAGAGCGTAGAACTAATCAAAGCACAGAAAAGAGGAGCATAAATGGCAAACAAGCACTGTTTGTTGCGTATATTCCTTTCTGGCGCTGTTTAGTTTTGTGTTGTTTTTTAACATGTTTTCTTTAACATTTTTTACTACAGCAAAAATACTGAGGAGCTCCCACTCAAAATTTAGAGATGATCATGTAAAATTGGGTGCTAGGCACTGCTAGGTCTAAGAGGAAAAATGCAGGAGCATATCAGCAGGCGGGCCCTTGCTTGGTTCGACCACTGAATTTTTTATTAACCATATTTTCCGGTGTATAAGTTGCATATATTTCTCCAACATTTTCATCGGTGTGTCTCATGGAACGGTATGACTTGCGTACCAACTATTTTATGAAAACGTCTCCCGGCCCTGTCCGCCAAAAAGGGTAGAAGGCATGATTGATAATAGAACACGCTGGCGCACTGCCAGTCTGTCTTATTATCTATCGTGAGAGTACAAAGGCAAATGCGGCTACAGTTGAATTTGCCTTTGTTTTTGCCGCCACCGAAAGCACAGAAAAGCTATACTGCGAAATCGGAAGTCGTGTGCTGCTGCGTATGTGGGCCACCGCTTGCAGCGACGCTGAGGTGACTCTCGCACACGTTGAATGTGCATCGCTGGCAACTACAGCGGCCTGCGATACACCAATTGCAGGCTGCTGTCATCACCGATACAGCTCATAAAAGTGCGTCTTGTGGAACAGTGCGACTTATATACAATCATTTCCGGGAAAACGTCTCAAAATAGGGGAGTGCGACTTATGGTCCGGAAAATATGGTATACAGTTCAGCCGACTAAGCTCACTTCACTACTAAACTTTGTTTTACCTTATGTGTGAGCAAAGCCTAAGCTACTAGCGCAAGCTCAGTGGTTTTTGCATTCCTGCCTGCATGTGCGCACGAGCGAAGCAAGAATGTGTAGACCGTTCGGATCGCGCTTCTAGTTCTTATTTCGCTCGCACATGGGTGAAACGAAGTATAAGCCTATCAGCATTCAAAGCACTAGAAAAGAAGGGCCAAGGGTTGTTCTTTTTACAGATGTACTCGGAAAACACGAACACGAGAAGAACCAAGAGCTTCGAGAGAGCGGCCATGTTGGCCTTAGCGGAACCGGGATGTCCGACTGTTGCCTCAATCCAGCTCTTTTACTGCATAGAACATGGTATTGAGGCTACAAGTCCAAAGCAAAACAACCATGTTTGTGGCAATTAAGCTTGCGGCGGCCCAGTGACTTGCGAGTGTAGACATTGGAAACCATGCAAATTGTGCTCTAAAAATCTAGTGACGGGCTATACGGCAACCGAAATTTTACACATTAAACCTATGGGGTGATTGACGGTCCCCCAAAAACGTCTATTAACCCTATGGGGTGAGTGATGGTCCCGGAAAAACGTATGTGTAGTAGGGTCCTCAATCTTGGTGTTTGAAAAATCGGCCGGTGGCCATATATTGATACCTCTTTTCTGTCAACTTTTGCCACCTTGGTCATTGGCCTCCCATTTTTTGTGCTACTTCTTGTAAGCTCGATTCCTTGGTCCCACTAAATCCCGTGCTGCGGCTTGTGCCAGTGGCGAAGATAACAGCTGGTAGCAGTTATTTCCGTGATCACGGCAAGGATGCCACAACGTGTGGGCGCTTGTGTTTTCTTTGAATTTTTTTGTCTTTACTCAAAATAGGGGGATGGGCATTCAATGTTTCCTTTGCTTATTTTTGAATCGTTGCAAAAATATGAGGTGGGCGCTTACTGTGATATGGGCACATGCTTGGTGTTTTACTGTAGTATGCCATTTTTGTTTTACAAATGAAAATAACATATTTTCACACTTCTATGCAGGTATCCTGGACCCCTCTACGCTGTTGCTGCAGAGCAGCTAGTAGCCAAGTACCCTAAGCTAAAAGACGGTTCTTCTTTAAAATATGTGAGTGTGTTTTAATTATGGTGTAATTGAAAATTGGAATCATGGGCACTTGTACCGCTTTGTTCCAGGAGGTCTGGCGAGCACACCTCCGCGTGAAGGCAAAGAATGGGAGACGCGTAATGGAGAACACGGTGCCAGGTGTTGGTGCAGTACGGGCGAAGCACCAGAAGGCCAGTGAAGCCAGGCAGCAGAGCGCTGACGCCAGGCCCGCAGTGGCAGTGCAGCACATCGTCAGACATGTTAGCACCAGAACGTCCGATTCTGCACTTTATTTTTTTTTTTGTTCCTCTGGTGCTTAGTAGAATCATATACTCTTCGCTATGCTTTTCCTGCAGCTCTTGGGGAATATCAGTTTGGTCACTCCTGTTCTAGATATTAAGCTTCAGATTTACTCTTTCGAGGTTTTGCTCTTTCATGCTTGATAAATGAACTTGAGTCATTTTTGTATTTATTTGTAACTTATTGTCTTGCTATTCTTTTGAGACAAACAAGCACCCAATATTTCCTTTTGCTTTATTTCGGTAGGTGCTTTCATAGGTTAAAGTAGTTGTACCCTTGTGGACCATCCTAGCATGCATAATTGAATTTCGTAATTGTTTTCACGTTTGTTAAAACCACTTGGCTGACATAGTGCAGGCAGCAAAAGGCACTGAATGTACTGTTAAGTAGAATTTATTGTGAGTGTACCATATTATGCTGAAGTAGAAAACGCTACTGATTAATGCTTGCAACACCTTTCCAGCTCAGCGGTGTTACCTACTGGGGTGACGCTGAAGACGAGGATTCTGTTGCCGGCCACCTGGCCTTCATGGCCAAGGAGGTGCGGAAAGGAAACCCGGACTGGCAGAACACTGCTTTGTCGATGGAGAGAACGTTCGACGAACGCAGGCACTGGATGCTGTCTGCACAGCCACTTGTGGCCGACATTCCGGCCAAGTATCCGGCCCTTGAATATCCCCAAGCTGTAAGCTTTTATTACCATTTTTCATAAGATCTCTATGCCTGGCGTCACCTTTTTGTGCTAATTTGGCAGTGCTAGCTTAGTTTCCAGAACACTGAAAAAAAGTCTAAAAATAGAGAGAGAGAGAGAGCAAAGACAAAAAAACGTCACCACGTGCTCTTTGGGCGAGGCCCTCACCCTTTTTTAATTCAAGTGGGAGGGAATGCAGCGCTGCGGAAGCTACGCTAGCCTTGCCAACTTAGCACAGCAAGCTGACGATGAGTATAATTTACATTCATTCAGTTATGCTGCTTTAGGCTAGGTAGGACGTGAAAAGAAATTCCGATCAGGCATACTTGTTTTAATTGCAGAAACTGCATTCTATTGTTGTCGACAGGCTGGCAGTGTTGGGGGAAATCACTATTGTCTTTTTTTTTTTGTTGTTCTTCCTGAATATTATATATTCTCCGACTCATGCCTTATTGAAAGGCATGGGGGGGGGCAAATAAATTAAAATACTCACAAAAAAAATGTACCGTATTTCCTGGCGTATAAGATGCATCGTTGTATAAGACGCACACCCCACTTTTTGCAAGTTTCATCTAAGTAAAAATGAGCATATAAGACGCGTCTCTAAGAACACTTATGAAGCGCTAAATTTGCGGGGAAAAAATTGCACAACCACGAACATCCCGCATAATTGCAGGAGAAACATTTTATTACCCGAAGCACGTCACAAAGCAACATGTCTTCTTTTTTTCTTTTCGTTTTCTTGGCTTTCTTTTTTTTTTTTTTTGTTATGGAACTCTAGTTTTGGGAGGTTGACTTGCATTTATGATGCATTATTTCCATTGAGCTCTCATAATAGTTATAAAAAGACTAATCAGCATCAACAGGAGTTCTTTCAGAGTTTGCCAAAAGGAAAAAAAAATATACATATATGACACACTGTTGTATAAGATGCACCGCTTAAAGGTTGGGACAAAGTGTCTTATACATCTGAAAATACGGTAATTGGTTTTGGATTATGCTGCCAGTATGCTTCTATATTTTCAAAAATTTTGTACATGCCAAGCAATTCGTTCTTGCTGCAAAGTTTTCATTGTTAAGATGCACTGAAAATCTGTTAGCCAGAGCAGCACCTGTATATCAGATACTTTCATGCTTCAGATAAGGGGTCAAGAATACGTTCTGGCCTCCTTCGCATGTTCTATCATTTTATGTTTTTTTACAAGGAAGGTGCCATGTCGTCTGGTCCATGTGTACTATCGCGGATACTATGTGCTGAAACGGCAAGACGCATGGCGCACGGTGCTGCTAGCACCATTTGGCGTATCACTCCACAAACACTGGTGCGTGCTGGGCCGAGAGAAATTCCCTCCTGCACTTGCTGCGCCATTCAGCACTTCCGGGCCGTCTGCCAGCGAAAACAATTGTCAACAAAACCGCCGTCACGATCAATACACTTCACGTGTATTGACGCGGACTGCAAAATTCGTTGTCACGCACCTACCTCTCTTTTTTCAATGCCCATTCCTTCCTTACTTGCGTGATTGCTCTGCATGAATCAGCATAAACCGACCGCAAATTTTATTAAAAGAAGTTCTGCAGAGCCTTCCCCGCTTTTTATCTTTATATGCGGTGCCTCGACTTATCATGCAATAATCAGGTCGCGATTAAGTGGCTCAGCCGCAGGCGTCGGTTTGTATTTGTGGGGAATGACAAGTGTGACCTTGGAGCCTCCGTGGCCAGTGCAAGGTTGGCCGGTGCCGCACCCCTCCGTCTCGCAAGCAGACGGCTGGGGCCCTAAACTCGCCAAACACAAAGTTGCAGCCGAAAGTTCACAGAGCGCGCTGATTGGACGTTGGCGAAAAAAGCGCGAAGTCATCGTCATGATAGACCAATCGGTGTGCTCCGTCAACTTCGGCTCCAACTTTGTGTTTGACGAGTTTAGGGGCCCTGGAAGCGCAGAGCTGCGCAACGATTGCAGGAGGGGATTTGCCTCGGCGTCGGAGTGTGTCGGTGTTTGCGAAGCAATGTGGCAGGTGGTGCTAGTAGTTCTGTGTGCCGTGCGTCCTTTCAGCTCGTAGTGTCCACGATAGTACTGTATGTTGGAGAGGGAAAGCAACCCTAAGAAACTGCCATGGGAACATACAAAGCCTCAACATTGCATTTTTTTCCTGAAATTTTGCAAATAATTATTTATGATGATAAACAGTAGCAAGGGGGAATGTTTGGCAAACTCAAGAAGGATAGGCTCTGTGGAGCATCAGAATAGCAGCTTGTGCTAACTACCTGTCCTCTTTTGCACCCGTAGATACTTTGGGGAGAGCTCACCCTCCAGAACTCTGGGATTCTTAGTTCAAAGCTCATTATTGTCTGTTTCATTTTGGATGAGCATCATACCAGCATGTGCTGAAGTGAAAACGTCGTCTTGGTGCATATCGGAGACTTAAGGTTAGCAGCCATACCGCACTGACCAAGTCGCTCATTTACAGTGGAAATATCATGTGCTCCTTGAGACGGATAAACCCCATTGTCTAAAAACTATATGAAAAATATTGTACAGGAAGGTCTAGATGTTGGGCCGAGACTGAAATAAATTGCAAAAAATCCGATGTATAAGCTACGACTCTGTAATTTACCAGACCAGTTCGGCTACATGGTGGACTTAATTTATGAAAATATCAAAGAAAAGACTTGTCCCAGTTGAAAGTTAAAAATGAAAACAAGGAAAGCTTATGGGGTCTGTTCAGATAGAATCACACACCTCCGGTCGACATTTTTGTTTTTCTTCATATTCGTATATGTTACTCCCCAATGTGTGGGAAGTAACTAGCCAATTATGTGAAGTGCGAAGCGCTATAGTTTTGACGGTGGCAAAATAATGCAATATGTTTTTTTATAGAAAAATACGCCGATATGGTGTGGAATGCTTTACCTTAATTTTTAAAAAATCAAAGATTTTTTTTTTATTGCACGTAGGAGTTACGAGACTTTTCACTTTTGAACATGTTTGAAGCGCTGTAACTATTGTTAATTGTAACTTATGTCAGCAAGTTATATTTAGGTGACATACCCTTTTAGGTAGAAGACATACAAAAATTTTCAATATTATATCTTATTTAAGGCACGCCGGGATAAAAAATCGCAAATACCAGGCAAAAATGTCAAAGTAGCCAAGTTTGTGCATTTTTGACGCGTGATATGTATTTCACAATCCTATAAATATTTGTGAATATAGTCACTAAAGCTACTATTTATATAAAATATTTGAGTTTTCTATTATTTGTACGTTGTCTTACACCAACTCGAGTTTACAAACACACCGCGTGTGGCGCCGCACGTGCATGTTGGGGTGGCAGAAAGCGCGCCATCTCGCATCAACAACAGATTGCGATGCCTTGTTGACAATGCCCGTTTCAGTTCGCGCTTTTTTTTTTTCTTTTCAAACACGTGAAAACCTGTTTTGGAACCTTTCCTTGATCTTGACGCGCAGCCCCGAGCTACACAGCTCTGAAGCGTTTTTGCTGTGCAGGCAAATAGACTGGATAACTCACCAAAACGCCATAGCGATTCACGGCACACCTGTTTTCTTTCACCCACAGTTCTTTACCTGAAGTGCTCCCGAAACGCCACCACCGCCTCGTGACGTAACAGACATGATTTGGTCTGTTATGTACCGACAAAAATGACAAAACTCCAAAACTGGATTGCCACCTTCATGTAGTCTTAATTATGTTTTCTCACAAATTTTTTTTTCTTGCAATATCTTTTGTGGTTTTGTCACACATAAAAGGGGTAACATAAAAATATGAAGAAAAAAAATGTTGACTGGACACGCGTGCGTGATCTTATCTGAACAGCCCCTCTGGACCGACATGAGGTTTAGCCTTTTCCTCTCAAAGCTAGAAAACTTTTTTGTGGGCCACTGGGACGTTTGATAGAAAAAAACGGGGAACGATAGCAAGGTAAGAAGTTTTGTTTTTCCTTCCACTTTTTTTTAGATCAATGGCCCACGACAACACCTTTTTGATTAAATTGAAATACATAAGAATTTTATTGTTTTCCTTTGTAACTTTTGACGGGGGCAAGTATTCTACTTGGTATTTTAAATAATTGCATCCAACACCTATCCAAACTTATCTAGTAAATTAGTGTCGTAGCTCGCAAATTCAAATTTTTTTGCGGTTTATTCAGGTCTCGTCTTGACATCTAGACCACACTGTAAATACACAGCTGAAGAGGAGCTTTCTGGTAGCCTCAGGGCAGTGGTTGATGTTTTGCTGAATCTTATTTAAACTAAATTTTGCATCTGCTCCAAAAGTTGACTGTTACAGGTCAAGAATAGCAGAGAGATCTCTCCTTTTTGCTCCACATTAGCGAAGCGAACACTGAAGAGGAGGAAACCACCAATCACGGTGAAGAGATGTGGTTTCCTCCTCTACATTGTTCTACTATTTTTAACTTGTAACAGACTATAGCATTTTCATTGAGCCTATGTGCATTGTTTTGCAGCATTTCTAAGTGCCTGCAGTTAATGTGGGCTTTACCAATTAAATGTTCCTCTCTATCATTTTCCAATATTGGCACAGATTCGTCAGGAGTTCCACCTCCTGACGAAACACCATCTAGACCCTGAGCTGGAGGTAGCCATAAAAAAATATGGCAAGAGAGTTGTGACTTTGGCGGAGAGGAAATGGCGACTCAAAGCCTCCGTGGAAGAACTCCGCAAGCGCCTGGACGTACTGCCGGAGGTTGAGAAGGATGGTAAGCTGCTCTCGAGTTTTTACCTTCTGTTCAGCTTGGCTGCAGTGCTTGAAGCATGTTCCAAGCACACATGCTGTTAAAACCCGACCTGCAGAATATTTTTCAGACAGGATGAAAATTCTTTGTACTACACTTTGCCTCTCACCATCTCCCCCTGGGGCGGTTTGCTCATCTTGCAGTCGCAGCTGCGGCCAAGAGGGATTTTTATGTCACGTGACCAGCTCCATGGGGATAAGGAAGTATCTAGCGTCCATGCCTAATGGCAGAGAAATCCGTTCCGCTTCGAGTACAAAAGTCTAATTTCGCTTGCAGTAACTGACTGCCGACGCTTTTAACTGGAGTCCAATTAACTGCAAGAAACACCTAACACGTGTTTGTTGCTCTTAGTGTCGCTGATCCCCTGCACGGAGTGCAAAAAAACAAAAGACTACCAACAAATGCCACCAGTGCGAAAAGCGGCTGCACAACAATTGCTGTGCAGCCTACTACGGCTTGTGATTGTAAAGCGCTGACTGCCACGTACCACATACATTGAATAAACATATTTTTCAAACATTCTTTTCTCTCTTCATAGTTTTCGAAGCCCTTGCGAGTAGCTAAAGGGATAACAGAAGCAATTCCCATTTTACACTCAATCAATGTTGTTTCAGACGACACTTGCATTTTGTATACTGGAAATTCCAATGTTCCAAAAAGGGAACATGCAAAAAATATGCCTAGTGATTGTTAATTTGACTATATATTTTTTTTCATAGTTAATTCAGAAGCCATATGTGAATTACCAACAGCCATTTTAGTGTTTCGAACATTGCGTCATAGTGCGGCGTTTAAAAGGTTAATAACGCTACAATTTTAGGGTTAAAGTGTTTCCACAGAAAAAAATTAGGTCGAATACTTTTGTAACACACCTTATACAACCCTTTGATACGTCCACAATGCAGGTGCAGCAACAAAGGTGAATAGTTAGTAAAATTCTAAAAGTTGGAAATTTTAAATATTTTTATGCTATACTTTAGTGCTACTCAAGAGACTGAGTTTCACCAAAAAGGCTGCACGAATAAGCAGAGAAATTAACTCCTTGGCTAACTTCGTGTGCCTGTTCCCATTGTTTGGTTCGAGAATTTCTAACAAATACTGTCTTTAGTTGCCTGTGTGTTCTATGCGTCTCTCTCCTGTGATCGCGTCCATTGCATGCTGTTTTTTATCATGTCGCCTCAATATCAACTGGCAAAAGTCACCACTTTGCTCAAACACTGCAGTCACAAGAACACCACTGCGTCAGGCTGACTTGCTCAGTCCCACTGACCAAAGAAAAACTCGCGGGCCGGATTTCGTTCTAAGAGAGCTCCCTATTGTCAGTTGCTTTGACTAAAAACAATATTCGATGTTTGACAGAACATCATAATTCAGCACACTGAATCAGATCTCAACGATTCCAAACTCGATGTGGCAAGCCGAAAATTGCAAATCCTAAATGCACAAACACTACATGGAACGTGCCACAGAAATTTTTAGTGTCGTCTTTAGTAGAGGCCCAACCATGAAATCTAAGAATATTTGTCGAATTAATAAACGAAAATTCATTGTATATTTACAACGGCTCAAAAGTGTTCAGTTTCACGACGTGGCCGTCCAGAACAGCAATATCTAAAATATTTGTGACCTTACGTTCCTAAAATATGTATGCTGGAACTGACTCAATTCAAGTGTCATGGTTGTGCTGGTCAAGTCGACAGCGTTTCCTTTTTCCTCTTTTTAAAAGCAACACGACTATACACGATTGCAAGCATGTCGGCTTGGCTGGTGCCCTGTGCCTGCAGGAATGTGCAGAAGGCACGTGAAGGTAACTTTGACAGCCTTGTAAAAACACATGCTTTCCCGCACGAGCACAGCCATGGCAGAGGCAACAAGCCCTCTACTCTATCTCACAAGTTGGCTTCAGTGCTGGCGAAGGTACGGGAACGAGCTCCTGGCCTTAGGAAGCGCTCTCTTTGCTCGAGTGCTCACGCAGAGAGAGTGTTTCCTAAAGCCAGGCGCATGTTCCCATACCATCACCAGCACTGGTCAACTGTGAGGTAAAGTATACTTATAATCATTAATGCACAGTTTGAAATGTTTACGAATCCACAGTCCTGCGCAAGTGTGTTCGTCGCCACGGACAGCGAGCGAAGAGCACACCAGATTACCAATGTTGAAAATGGCACCGGCCAGCGGCCCTTTCTTCTACTTCATTTTACGAGTTTCGTGCAGCAGAGGCAAAGGCACGAGCACGGGCTTGTGGCTTTGCAAATTGCCTCCTTTTACGAGTGCTCGCAAAGGCAAGGTAAAGCCATGCCTTAGAGTTCGCCCTCGCATCCATGCCTTTGCACTACGCTGCACACAGCCCACAGGATGAAGAACAGATCGGTCTACAGATGAATTTACTGTATACAAAAATTAGTCCTCACACTCCGCACTTGCTAGATTACGGTTTAGGCGGCGCCCATTGGTAAATGCGGAGAGTCAGAAAACCTATCGCAAAATACGGAAACAGAGGAATGATTGATATTTTATTATGCATTTTACAATACGTCAATACGCCACGTGCTTCACTCGTCCGAGGCAACAAACACTTTTGTACGGCGCTGTAAATTAACAAACATTTTGAAGGGAGATTACAAGTAGGGCTAGTGGCCGCCACCTCAAGCACGTGCGGGAAAGCACGTGTAATTCCAAGTCTGTCAAAGTTACCTTCATGCTCCTGCTGCACATAGTTGCAACTTGCAAGCGTGAGGCACCAGCCGAGTCGACATGCTTGCAATCGTGTATGGTCAAGCGGCATAACCAGGATTCCCCTCTTTATTTGGGGGGGGGGGGGTCTTTTTGGCTGTGGAGGGAATGGAGAAGGGGTCTAGCGTCTTATTTTTTACATCTGAAATTGGTGAATCAGAGTGCTGCTATCAGTCATTTTGTGGCGACCCTGTCTGTTGCGTGCTTCAATGGATCCTACTCCGCAAAGCGTAAAAAGTGGCGCCACCAGGGTGTCGAACCGAAATTTTTATCGGTTCGGTTCCGGTTCGGGTTCACGGCTTTCGGTTCGGTTCCGGTTCAGTTCCGGGGAGCCAAAAATAACGGTTCAAACCGGTTCGAACCGGTTCGAACCGGTTTGAACCGCTAAATTGAGAATATATTTTCCGCGTTGTTTTGGCAATATACACTATTTCCGTTGTGAAACGATTAACTATATAGTTTCTTCGATCGTTCATGCAATTTACTTTTGTTCTTAGGTACCAAAAATATCAAATTCAGTCATTTAATTTCGACGCAAAAGTAGAAGAAAATCTACATTAACATACTTAACGTCGTGTTCATGCGACTCAGTATCTATTTGTTTACGAGTGAAATATATTTTGCCTGAATCAAAATGTTTAAGTACAAGAGTAAAGAGTTGAGCTTGTTGGTACGTACCTGTAAATAGATCAGCTTCTAATTTAGAACTATACTGTATTTTCTTGTCCTTTCTTCGTGTTAAAGTAAAATTCTAAAGTTCAACCTGACCTATTTACACGGTATAAAATGTTGTCGCGAAGTGTGGTAGGTCGTCTAAAATACCCGTGATTGGTACAACCTTGTTTGTTAGTATTAAAAGTGAAATCGTGTCATTGAACTAAGGAATTAATTACATCACATAAAAATATGAAATGAGCATGCACCTCGTGGCTATATATCATGAAATAAGGTTTACGAAATACACTTTACAATATATATATATATATATATATATATGATGACGACCCAACTGAGCTAAAAGCAATGAAATTTTCGAAATGTAACAAAGTTTTAGGATAACTCCTTTCAGTCTATCTTTTATAGAAACACCGAGCGGCAATCCATATGCCTGTTGTTCTAACTAAACATTGTTTACTCTCAGCACCGCACGCATGCGACTAATCATGGAGCAAGGAGTAATTGCAATTGTTCACTCTAATATATACGCACCTTCGCGCTCAGGTCGAATCTGGCCCAAAATAGCGCTTGCCCTAGTGAACATTTTCTTATACAGAATAAGCTGGCATAGCCTGGCTGTTGAGGTTTGTTGTTGACAAGATGCCGGACAATTTAATTTGCAAATGAGCATCACCCTTGCTAAGTGATGATTTTAACACGATAGCGTTAACGAGCTCATGTCGCAGAAAAACCGATGTCGGTGGCGTGACTGGAAAATCCTGATGGGTCGATAGGTTCATGACGTCAGAGCTACATACCCTAGTGCAAGAATTTCAAACAACCCACAATGCTTACGTGAAACGTGACATCACGCGTGGAATGAGGGTGATTAAAACATGATATGTAATGTGAAATAAAGGTCACCGTATGTTTCAAATGATTTCACTTTTGAAAGTAATTCCTTTGCCCTAAAAAAAAAAATAAAAATTTTAGGCAGGATTCGAACCCACAACCCTTTCGTTGCGAGTCAGACGCTTTTCACTAGGCCACGCGAGGCACGCTTGCGCGGCAAATGAGAATGCGATGCAAACGAGGCCCGTCGACGCGATCGCGTTCCACTTTTAAAGGTGAAGCTAAAGCGTCCTTCAAAATTCTTTTTTGTTTAGTAAAACGAAGTAGTATTTCACGTTCTACTCGACAAGGCAGCTACTTAATTGGACACTTTCTGACAGTTTGCGTGCGTAATCATCATAGTTCCACCGCGTGCCCCTGTTTACTTTCTTTTCGTCCAGCCCACAGACACATAAAACTAATGTTCACCAGATAAAAAAGGCAATAACGGACTTCTATATGTTTGAGAAGTTATATATGCGAAGAACACAGTTATTTAAATTAGCTTCAAAATCAGAAATGTATGTAAGGCCGTTCCATATCACTTACAACGTGCCTGTCGACAACAAAAACGCCGGAAAAGATTGGCAGAACCGCTTTCAAATAATTTGGGGGGCATTGCTTTAGAGTGGTCGGCCCTCTATTTATGTTGTCAAATATTCAATTAGTAATTAAATATATTTTATATTGATAAAAAAATTTACTTTATAAAGTTCACATAACCGCTTGAGACCGACGCGGAAGGACGATACTCGAAACTACG